GTAAAGGCACTGGACAAAAAAAGCCAGGCTTTCAATTTTCTGAAAGAAAAATTTCCAAAAGTCAGTGAGGCAAAGCTGAATGCAGGAATTTTTGATGGCCCTCAGATCAGAGAGCTTTTCAAAGATCCCAAGTTTGATTGCAGCATGGATGTAAATGAGAAGAAAGCCTGGCATGCCTTTAAGTCTATTGTCTCCAATTTTCTTGGCAACTACAGAAGTCCAGAGTATGAACGAGTTGTTGAGGACCTACTTCTGAGCTACAAAGTTCTTGGTGCACGCATGTCCATCAAGATGCACTTCCTCAGCTCCCACTTGGACTACTTTCCAGAGAACTGTAGTGATGTGAGTGAGGAACAAGGAGAACGCTTCCATCAAGATATCCGTGTAATGGAGGAGCGGTACCAGGGTCGCTGGGATATCAACATGCTCGCCGACTACTGTTGGTGTCTGAAACGGGACGCCCCAGACACCAACCACCAAAGAAATTCTCTGCGACAGCCATTTATGCATGTCTACAGTAACTGTAAAGGCATCTATGTAGTTGACATATTTTGGTCCTGTGTGTTGTGGTTACATTTCTTATGATATATTTTGCATAAAAATTTTGACATCATATTTAAGAATTTCGATTTTTTCCTAATTCCCATAGCATAAAAATCTGACCTGATTGGGCAAAATGAATGGCATTTTTGGAATCAGCACGCAAAATACATAAAGAATCAGCTAAGAAACCCCGCACCTCATGAATTTTTTTTTTCAAATGCAGCCCAGTGTTATCAGCCTTTTCTCATTTCATTTCTCAATGCTGTGTTACTGTACTGTAATGTAGGGGAGACCTGCAAGTGTTCTTCCAGTGGACAAACTTCCCTCGAAAGGCGAGATGTTAAAGAACTGCTGGCGATATAAATGTGATGACGGAAAGTTTGCAGATGTCTCAATGATTATAAAGATGGCCGCCCAGGACTGTTCAGAAATATGGGAAAAAGCAATTGGAGATAGGCAGAATGTTCCTCTTCTTAGCCAAAAAACTATTGAGGAAAGGTTGAGAAAATTGTACAGTAGAGGAATTGAACTAAATAAGAACAAGAATGTAGACAAAAAAGCTGCATTTCAGGTAGAAATGAAAGAGTTGTTTGATATCTGTAGCTGTTATTGTCCCCTTGCCTCCTGTCAGGATGTGAGGTGCATAGTTAAGGAGTGTGACGGATATCACCTGGCATGTAATTGTGTTATAAAAGTTCCCAAACGTGAGGTGCAGTTTCTCCTTGACCAGCGAGGTGATAGGAAGATGAAGATTGCAGGGATTGACATGAAAGTGACGAAGATGTGGGACAGATTGACGGCAAGAGAGAAGCATGATGCGGACAGAGTTAGGAGACAGCTTGAGCAAAAACATAGATATCTGGTAGCTGGAGATATTCCTTATGTTGAGGATAATTCAGATGATTCAAGAGATATTCCTCTCGTCAATACTGATGCTGATTTTGTCCTTGATCCAAGGGCTCTGACAGACACCAGTTCACAGAACCGGACAAGACTCCCTACACTGGCTGCCGCTTGTGACCGATACTTGATTAGTGATTATGCTGGAGCTGCCATTGCTACTGCCACCTTAACTGACTATGGCATTATCACAAAGGATGACAAGAGTCAGGTTATTGGACCACATAAGCTGCGGGATGCGAGACAAAAATACCGATTTAAGAGGCAAGAAATTGAGATGGCTAGTTTAGATAATTTGACATCACTCTATTTTGATGGTAAGAAGACCGCCACTCGTGTGATGATAAAGAATGAGAAGACCGAGAAATGGAGTTCGAGGATGATGGTGAAAGATCATTATGTCATCATGGTTGAGCCTGGCAATGAATATCTCACACATGTGACTCCCAAGACTGGACACGGAAAGCAGATTGCCAAAACTATTCACGAGTTTCTGGTGGAGAAAAATCTAACCCAGCAGCCCATTGTGTGTGTTGGTTGTGATGGAACCAATGTAAATGTAGGATCAGAAAATGGAGTCATTCATCATCTTGAAATGTTACTTGGTCACCCGCTCCATTATTTCATATGTCAGCTTCACGGAAATGAGCTGCCTTTCCGCGCAGTTTTTTATCACTATGATGGTAAACCAAGTGGTCCTGAGCATTGGCGTGGTCCCATTGGAAAGCAGATCAAGGAGTCTTTGTCTGAGCTTCCAGTTGTCGCCTTCCAGCCAGTCAGTTTCCCTGATTTCCCTGTGTTTAATGATGAAGTGGAGAAAGATCTGTCCTGGGATCAGAAATACCTGTATAGGATTTGTAAAGGAGTTATCACAGGTGTTGTTGAAGATGACTTGGCTGCTATTGAGCCAGGTCCTCCCTGTGTGTCAAGGTGGAACACCTTATGGAGTAGAATCCTCAGGCTGTATGTAGCAACATCAAGACCCAGCCATGAGTTGAAAAGAATTGTCATTACAATAATAAAGTTCAGTGCTCCAATGTGGTTTTACATCAAGATACACCCTTATGTAACACACGGCTCAAGGAACGTATTCCAGTCCCTGCTATATATGAAACACCTGAATAGTGAGGAGGAGACGATAGTGAAGAAGGCTGTCCAGAGAAATGCATACTTCGCCCACACAGATCAACTTCTTCTTGGTATGTGTGCAGATGAGGACATGACTGTTAGAGAAAAAGCTGTCTCAATGATAAGAAAAATTAGAGAGGAGAATCAGCAAAAGGAAGAATGCACTGGCAGATCTGAAGAGGAGGAGGAAGATTCTGATGCTGCTGTTGACGAGAATTTGTTAAACTATACTGATGAGGAGGGTAAAGATGGAGATGGGAATGAGGATGTGCCTCCTGTAGTCAACATGAGAAAGGTGGTGACTCCGAAACTAAAGTGGCAAGCAAAAAACTATCATTCCATGATTAACTGGAGGAATGAACTCAAGACTGAGCCTCCTTACATTGCTTCTCTGTCAAATCTACAGGTTAATGACATTCTTGAGACACCATTAGTGGTGCCCAAGTGGCCAAACAGCACTCAGGCGGTCGAGAGAGGCATAAAAGTGATGACTGAAGCTTGCACTGAAGTGACGGGATACGAATCGAGAGATGGATATATTAGGCAAAGATTATTGTCTAGGAAAATGATGCCAAGGTTCCGCACAAAAAAGAATTTCAATATGAACTTGTAATGATTTTCTATACGGTGTACCTGTAAAATAACATGTGAATTAAATCGATGTCACCCATGTAAAATTTATCATTATCCTGGAAAACATTAAATGACACCTAATTTTTGGTATACACTAAAAGTTGACAAAAAGTCGTTCGCGATGCGGCAGGGTAAGTATGCATGAAATGGCATGAAATTTTGCACAGGTGTTTGTTACAGCCATACAAACGATGCCTGAGAAGTGCAGCCTGCAACTCAAATAAAAGTGTTTTTTCCCTGCCCGCTAACGTTTATATTCAAATTATTCGCTGTCTTGCAAGGAATCCGGCCATTGTAAATTATATTATCCTAACTATAGCCTGAGGTATTATTTATTACTAAACCTAAAAGCCTAGTCTTTCCCCCAAACATTTCTCAGAGAGGTAGGAGCCAATGAGCTGGGAAGAGGGGGGGGAGAGTTGAGTCCATTATTTGAATGGACATTAACCGGCGACTGTATTTTTTTAAATATTAATTGTGTGTGCATACCATCATAAAATTAAGATGTTATTTTTACTACAACGTACGTATTGTGCCGGAAAAAGTGTAGTTTGGGGGTCGGCCCAGTCTCTATTTCAATTAATCCTTTATGTTCTGTTATTTCGTTTACGCGTTTGCGGTTTACGTGGACCTCCACGGGTTCAATTGACCGCGTAAATCGAGACTATACTGTACTGGTAATCATATTTTTAATCCAGCTTCCCAAACGTAAGTTTCAGTCTAAAATATTTAGTGGTAGGACCGTGTGAGTGGTTTACGATGTTCTCCATCACCACTCTTGACACGCTAAACCACAATATTCAAGAGGTAAGAATTTTATACCCGGTATTTAAGACGACCCCTAATTTTGGGCTGATTTTTTTACGGTTTAAATTCCGTCTTATAGGCCGAGATATACGGTAATCTTAATAGAAAGATTTGCAAATTACATGTGTAATGCAATGTGTCTTTTACTTTTATCTTCAGTTAACTTTATTATAATTTTCTGTGGATTTATTTTAATATTTGAGACAATAATTTTGTTGTTACTTTTTACTTTCAGTACTTGAGTCCTTTATGAATGAGATACTTTTTTTTTTACTGTACTTGAGTACATTGAACATTGGATACTTTTACTTCTACTTGAGTAACATTTTGCCAGTGTAATAATACTTTTAGTTAAGTAACAAAGTCTGGTACTTTTTACAATTATGCTGATGGGTGTGATGGGGAGGGAAGCATGATTGGTGTGTCCAAATTGGATTAACAGATCTATCCTGTTTGACATTATTAGGAGTTTTCAGTGGACATGGAATCCCCCAAGAAGCATCCTATATTGTCAGAGCCACCAGGTTGTTAGCTCTGTGAAAAATGATATTGTTCAAAATAAAGCCTTAATTTAGAATTCTGCCCCATGATTAGTATAAATTGAGGATTATTGTGACAAATGTAATTTGTAATTGATGCACTTGTTATTGATTTAATGTAGTCATTTCAACTGAAGTGTGAAATGTTTGGGAGTAAGATCACAAATTATTGGGTGTACGAGTATTACTAGCCTGGGTAATTTCAGATTTATAGACCTTGATTTAGTAAAATTCAGTTAGTATATGAGAAGCAGGGTGTTTTCTAGATAACTATATTTAGCAATGGTGCCATTTTTATAATTGCTTATGTGTTTCTGTGTGACAAATTTTGTTTTGGCTTTTAAACTTCTTATAGGTTCAGAGTTTATTTTGATTTTAGTGTGAGAGTATGTCAGGTTCTTGACTGAAATTAAAAATAATAATTTATTTGAATTTCCTATTTATTTTCAGAGGGAACATCGTGGGAAGATTAAGCCAGGACATAGGAGGAACAAGAAGAGGTGCATTGTGTTTTAGGAATATTGTGTTGCTTAGACTTATAAGCCTGATGGTATTAAACCCATTGTTTTCATCACTGTCACATAGGTTAACTCTACGTCAGTGCAGTACATTTGACAAAAAAATTCTGCCACTTTGATAAAAATAATTTTGAGGAGGGAGCTTTTGAGTTCTCTGAATATGCTGCCTGAATGGATACCTACAGATGAACTGGCTACCACGAGTGCAGAAGTTTCTCTCAGCTGTGTGTGATTCAGTGATTCTGCAGTTTCCTTTTAGTTTTGTGTCAATGTTACAATGCCTTTTAATTAACACGGTATTGGAAAATATGTGTGGAGGAAGAAAGGGCCATCTTTCATGGCCCAAGGCAAACTTTTATATAATGGTGAAAGTAGATAATCCCAAGATCCCAAGAAGGAAATTGAAAGTGCAAATCCTGAAGTGGTCATGCAGAATTACATACAGGGCGTATTGTTAATTTTTTCTAGCCCAGGAAAAAAAAAAAGAGATGTAACAACAGCCTTGTAAGTTCATTGAGCGAGATTTCTAAATCACCCCCAAATTATGGTAGATATATTGATTACTTTCAGTTACCCATGTGATGAATATTTGGAAACCTGAATGAAAAGAACCGAGTCAAGAGTTTTAGCTTTTATGCTTTTGTATGTTGGAATATTTAAGAATATAATTATCTTTTATATCGATAAACTGTGGATGTGTGAAGACAAGAATAATTGTATGGTCACACTGGACTGTTTTGAGTGAAGTTTGAACTTTTTTATCATAGTGGTGTGTACACACAAATACAGGTATGTAATGTGAATTAAATGGAGGCCAAGATGGAGGATCGACACACACACACACACGCGCATATATATATATATATATATATATATATATATATATATATACACATACATACATACATACATTGGGGTATGCTATAACGAATCTAATTGGTTCCAGAACCTCGTTCGTTATAGGATTAATCCATTCCAGGCCCCCAAATACAACCACTTAACACTGAAAAAATTCTGTGGAAAATGTAAAAAATACGGTACTTTATCTTACCTTAGTGTTGTTCAGCATGCAGGACAGGAGACAGAGGGGGAGGAGGGAGGAGAGAATTATGGAGAAGAGGTGGAAGGAGAGGAGTCATCCTTCCTAGCCCTCTTTGGTGACTGTCTCACAGGCACTTTGTCTGTAGGTTCTTTTGTTACCTTTGTAAGGAAGGAATCCAGGGTTGACGGCTTCAACCTTGATTTCTGGACCTTCCAAAAGTAGTTCATAACATTGTCATTAAACACACTGATGGCCTTTTGCACAGAACCAACATAAGGATGATAATCATCAGCAAGTTTGGACAGTTTGCTCCAGCAAAAGAACGCATCCTTGAGATCTTTGGCTGGAATGATGCGGCTTTCCTCCTTGTCCTCCTCCTCCCCTGACTCCTCAGAAGTTAAGCTCCGCTTCAGTGTCTCATTTTCCTCTTTGTGAAGCTCAAGCAGCTCCTCAGTGGACAGTTCCTTACTGTGCTCTTCCACCAACTCCTCGACATCATCATCGTCACTTCCAGGCCCATGGAAATGCCCAGAGACACAATTTCATGAACAACAGCCTCTTCTTCTAACTCTTCAAAACCTTCAAAGTCTCTTTGAAGGACACACTCAGGCCACAATGGCCTCCAAGCTGCACAAAGACACCTCACAGTAACCTCTTTCCAGGCTGAGGTAATTAAAAAAAAACTGTCTGCTACATTGAAGTGACTCTTCCAAAATTCCTTCAAGCTAACATCACTGGAAGAAGTGGATGCAAAATATTTTCTAAACAGTGCCTTTGTGTACAGCTTCTTAAAGTTAGAAATTACCTGTTGATCCATGGGCTGGATGAGAGGTGTTGTGTTGGGTGGCAAGAAATGCACAGTGATGAAGTTGAACTCCTCTGGCAATTCAACCATCAAATTAGGAGGGTGGGCTGGTGCATTGTCCATCACCAACAAAGCTTTCAGTGGAAGATTATTCTCCCTGAGGTATTCCCGAACACTGGGTCCAAACACCTCAATCACCCACTCAGAGAATAAACTCCTGGTCACCCAAGCCTTTGGGTTTGACCGCCACATAACACCAAGGCGGGTTTTCCTAATGTTTTTGAAAGCTCTGGGGTTTTCTGCATGGTATACAAGGAGTGGCTTTATTTTGCAGTCACCAGAAGCATTAGCGCAAAGAAGGAGGGTAAGCCTGTCTTTCATTGGCTTATGGCCAGGGACAGAAGTTTCCTCCTTGGTAATGTATGTACGGCGAGGCATTTTTTCCAAAAAAGTCCAGTTTCATCACAGTTGAATACTTGCTGAGAAACAAAGCCTCCTTCTTTAATAATATTCAAAAAATGTCATGGTGTTCCTTAGCTGCTTCCTTATCGGCACTAGCAGCATCACCATGTCTCACAACACTATGTATTTTATTTCTCCTTCTGAAACCAGTAAACCACCCCTTGGTACCCCTAAACACTGGCACATCACTATCACTTGCACTGGGAGTCTTGGCTTTAAGGTCCTCAAACAATTGTCTGGCCTTCTCACAAATTATAGCTTCACTAATGCTATCACCTGCCATTTCTTTCTCCTTTATCCACACTAAGAGTAAATTTTCCATCTCCTCAATCACATTACACCTTGCTTTGCTAAGTCTAGAGATTCCCTTAGCCACTTGCACTGTTTTCAACTCCTCTTTATTCTTTAAAATCGTACATATACTTTAGTCGATTTAGCCATCCCATACTCATCACTAAGTTTCGCAATGCTTGTTCCATCCTCACGTTTCTTTATGATTTCTTTCTTAGTTTCAAGAGTTATGAGCTTTCTCACTCGCTTTGGACGATTCATTGTCACAATTGTACACTTGTATAACAAAATATTTATACAAATAACTCTATTTCCACATCAAAAGACGAAATTTCAACAATAACATTGGTGCACTGGCTACACAATGAGACAAAGATGGCGCCTGACGCTCTTGTTGTGGGTCGCGGTACAACAATATTCATGCGCCAGGCGAAATAGTCCGGTATTCATCCGCGTTCGTTGTAGGAGTTGCGTTCGTTATAGCATTCTCAATTTTATAGGTAAAACCGTTCGTTATAGGAATATTCGTAGTAGGATCCGTTCGTTATAGCATACCCCACTGTATATATATATATATATATATATATATATATATATATATATATATATATATATATATATATATATATATATATATATATATATATATATATATATATATATATATATATATATATATATATATATATATATATATATATATATATATATATATATATATATATATATATATATATATATATATATATATATATATATATATATATATATATATATATATATATATATATATATAATTTTTTTTTTTTTTTTTTTTTTGGTGTGTGTGTAGTATGTTTTGATTGATCAAATGGTAATTTATGTTATTGCACAAATATAAAAAACTCTTGATGATTGAGGATTCCATACAATGTCAAAATTCTTTTTCTAAAACCTCTCTTTAGACACAAAAGTATCAGGATTGCTAATGACTGTCTTGGATCTAGCTAGTTGTTTGCTTGGTTAACTTAGTTTATCTTCACTGTGGATTTCTCTGATATATGTCTAAAAAAATTGCACATTCCTGTGGTTGTCCTAGTTTTTGCTGTTCCTGTGGTTGTCCTGGTTTTCTATTGTATAATAATCAGTTTTGTTCACATGGTGGATAACTAGCTTGTTCACAGCAGTGAGATGGACTTGCTTTGTCCTTAACATAGAATATACCTATTTCACAGTTAGAGTAATCTAGTTAGTCATCATCCATATTTTCATAGTGAGATTGATCTGGTTTGTTCACTATAGATGATCTGACTTCCACACAAATAACCAGGCTTTTTCATTATAGAAGATCTGTCTTGTCCACATAAATAATCTGGCTTATCCACATGTTTAACAGATTTTCATTATAGATGACTTAGCTCGTCCACATGAATAACATGGCTAGTTCAGTGTACATGAGCTAGCTTTGTCCTTTTTGTGGAGAGTGTAATTTACTTTATATGGATGACCAGCTTTATCCACATTGTTGGTAACTTGGTTTCTCTATTGTGTGAATGACTTTGCTCAATGTGGATAGCCAAGTTCATGTATGTTGTGTGTGACCAGGTTTATTTACAGTGTGGATAACTTGGTTTGTTTTCTATGTGGATAACCATGTTTATCTTCAGTGTGGATAACTTATTGTTCATTGAAAAGCCTGATGTGTCCACATGGTAGATAACTTGCTTGTTCATCGTGTGGATGACCATTTTAAAATAAAAACGTTTATATTATACATATTGTGAACTGTAAAGTATTGATTAAAATGATGCTGAGCTTTTAAGGAAAAGGATTTTGTTCATCAATCCTCTGGATTAATCTTCAGGCAGCTGATCTGTCATAATTCAGGATATCATTCAGGGGGTAAATGTGGGAGTGTCACTATTCATGGTTTGAATGAACAGACATTAAAATAGATATTTCGGTGTTCCCACTTTTTATTTAATTTGATATAGTGAACACATGGTACCTTGAAAATTTATATTTTCTGGTTATGATTAACTTTAAAGAAGCTGTACTATTTGCAGATTGTATAGTAACTGAGATAAAATAGATGATCTTGGAAGATAAAATAACCTCAGCTGGTATTGGGTTGTCAGTGTATTGACTTTATTGTCATGCTAATGCGAGACACAGGTTTGATTGATTAATAATTTGGTGGCCTGAATATATGCATCAGTGCTTCAAGAAATTTTCTTAGAGAGTCTCAGAAGTTTTTGCTACTTGAATGATTAAGCTAATGTCTTCTGGATGTTGTCACATTGCATTGCATTTGGTTCAATACCGTAATTGATTCAAATACTTTCAGTTAGTGGGCACTTGGGAAAATTTAGGAGCTCACAATTGATGATTTGGTAATATATATTGCAATCACAGACTCCATTATTGATGGTGAGGCTGGCCTAGAAGCTCTCTCTGACTGACTTCAATTAAAGGAGCTAACAGTGTTTTTTATGTTCATGATCATATCACTGTTCAGTAATAGTAAATTTGTTTGCATCAGACACATAAGATTTTTCATTGGTACATTATCTGTCAAAAGATGGCCAGTTGAAGCATGTCACTAATGATCCAGGAAATTGTAGGTTGTAATTGTTTATGGGGAAGGGTTTTCTTGACACAGCTATGAATAATTTACACCTTTAATACAGAACTTAAAAAGAATAATGAAAAATATGAGAAGTGGATATAGACAAGAAAATCCAGCCACAATGCTCACCGCTTTTCCTATTTGACTAGTTTTTTAAATACATTGCATTGAGTGATTACTTAACCAGTGGCTATATAATGTGTACTACTTCTCTTTTTAGGGGTTTTATTATTCTAAATGTAAAGGCAAGACAGTAATCATAAATTTTTCAGTGATGCCTCCATAACCCATAACTTCTCTTTCATTCAGTGGCTGCATATCAGATTTGTCAAAAGTTGCAGTAGTTGCTGGCATCTCAAACGTCAAGAAATCTCTGATCTTTTCTTAATAATCTTGTATAATTGTACAAATATCATGCTGTTTGAAGAACAAAAATCATTGAAATTAGGCAAACATAGTTTAATACTGTATTGTACAAGGGCTTTAATTTTATCACATTTTGTGCTCATAATAAGTGATAATCATGTTGGGAGGTGAACAGCTTTGTATTGTTCAGTGTGGCCAATATACTTTGCTGCTCTTTAAAGAGGCAATTGTGTGCGTAAGTGTATTTGTATAAATGAGTTTTATGTAATTTTTTTAAATATATTTTTGGTTTTGTTTTTCAGTATGCAAAAATTACTATCATG